TATATGTGAGTGTGTGTGTGTACACCGATACACAACTTACAGGGCCCAGGTGAGGTCCATAATCTTTGGGGATAGAAATCATTCTGATTGCAATTTCCATCCATCCTTTTATGTAGCTTTTGCCAGGAAAGAAAATAGAATTAGGCTAGAAAGAGGGGAAGAAGAGAGTGTAGATAAACAGCCTATTTTGCAGGCTAACAGGAAGAGAAATTTACTTTCAGGGCAGCCCAGTTATATTCCATGCTAGCTTTATAGTTAACTTAGCATATTCTACAAATATATCTAATATTTTTCATTAATCTCAGAATGTCTGTAAAAAAATACAATGACTGAGAGACGGTTTGGTCTAATGGTTAAGGCACAAGGCTAGATAGTAGAAGATCATGAATTCATGTCCCACTCTTTGCCTCAAAGCCAGCTGGGTAACCTTAGACCAGTCACTCTCTCGCAACTCAACCTACCTCACATTATTGTGGGGAAAAAGGAGGAAGAAGATGTTCACTGCCTTGAGTTATTCGTAAAAATAATAAATGTGGGATACAAATAAATAAATATTGAAAAAAGACAAAATAGAGGAAAGAGGGGTACTTAGGCAGGCCAGACGTAGGAATCATGTTATTAGTGTGACATTGAAATTTGTTTCCTTTAAAAAAATATTGTCTATATAGCATACATTTGTGATTGAAAATGCAACATGAGAACATACATCTTACATGAATATTAGATTTGTGACCATGGTACCAACATATGAACAATTAATGAAGTGAGAGGTAACATTCTATTCCCAAGTGACAATTACCTTTGCAGTGTGCCTTTAGCTGATCTTTCCAACCACATTCAATTAATTTTGCTCTCAGTAATTCTTTAAGGCTGTAAAAACAACATTGTTAGAAATATGGTATATCCACACCAGGTACTAGAAAAACATTAAATAGTGTTCTCAACCAGCAAGCAACACAGCTCTGCAAGTAGACTAGAAAATAAAACCCACATACCGTTCTCGTTCTCCTGTTTCAATTAATTTTTGATTAATAGTTGCTCTCATTTGTGCATCCTTGTTCATTTTTCCCCTCCTGCGTGCAAGTAGACCAGATCTACTGAAAAGCAGAGATTTCAATGACGCAAACTATTTCAAGGGTAATCTCTGGCTTCCATAAATTCTTGGTACAGCTCCTCAACCTGCAGATCCCACAACTGAAATAAGGACATCAATATTGTGACTTGGTACAAAGTTAGCTTGTCCTGTTGCCAATTTGGATCTGATTTCCCAGAAACCAAACTTGACTGCACAAAATACCACTTCAGCAACAGAGCAGCCAATGCCTGGAATGCACTACCTGACTCTGTTGTTACATCTTCAAATCTCCATAACTTTAACCTTAAACTTCTACGATTGACCTCACAGGCCCTCACCTCATTCCTAAGAGGTCTATAAGGGGCGTGCATAAGCGCACCAACATGCCTACTGTCCCTGTCCTAGTGTCTCCATTAACTTGTCCCCATTTCATTCATATTCATGTTTATTCTTATACCTATTATCTTGTAAAGGATTGACAAATCAAAATAAACAAACAAAAAATAAAACCTGCATGGTATGTATTTCGATGGCATTCACACAACATGCATCCCCTACTCAGCTAAAAACCCAGCCCATATAAGAGGGGTTTAAATTCAGCGACCTACAGTATGTGACCCTGTTGTACAAATTGCAATTTTCCAAGTGTTGAGTGGATCAAGCAGCCAAACAATTGAGTTTACTGAATAAGAATGGGGATCCTCTTCTGAAAACCACCCCTTTTGAGTCCTCCACGCTTTGAGTTGCACGCCCATCAGTTTCATCATATAATAATAATAATAATACGATGATGACGATGATGCTCAAACTATAACCACTGAAAAAAGCCTCGCAATGACTGAAAAGTCAGATCTGGGCTCGGTTTCTCTTTTAAGGAAGGGATGGGGAAAAAGGGGGACGGGAATACCAAGCAAATTCGAAGAGGAATCGACATCCACACGAGCACAAAAGCCTCCAATAGATGCACTGCCCGCCCCCCTTAAACAAATGGGGTTACCTCTCCGTCGAGCCCTTGCTTCCTCCTCCACGAGCTCAGCCTCCGAGGAGAGCCGTTTCGATGGAGCCTCGAACTCGCGACAAGACCAACTCTCCCCGGGTTGCCCCAGACTTTACCCAACTAAAGAGAAAGAAGCCTCGCAACAGCCTCCCTCAATCCCCGCAGAAAGATTTGGGAAACGTAGTTCTCCGCCGCATGGCTTTAACGGCTCGACGCCCAACGAAAACTACAACTCCCAGAAGGAAGTTTTCTCTTAGCCGTTCCCATGACGCCTTCACGCCGCCTTAACATAAAAACTACTTTTCCCACAATGCTCTTCTGTACTGCACTTTTTTTCCCCTCTTTTGGGTCGCTAGGTTGATTTATGTTGATGCCGCAGTCAATTTCTTCTGATTTTAAATTAGCTATTTAGCAAAATGGAGGTGGAGGAGGCGGATTCCCATTGGCTGTTGTATTTGGGATTTACTTTTAAAAAACCAGAAGCTTGGTTTGGTTCTATTGAAAAGCAACCAGAATTCAAGGCGGGATCAGGTTAGTTTTTTGGGATGGGAGACACTAGGAAATCCTGGTGAATATGGGAAACATGGGGAAAACATCCCAGAGAAAAAAATAATGAACAATTTTAAAAGAAAACACATGATTGTTCCATCAAGAATTGACCTTTATTTAAAATGAATGGAAAGTAAATTTCAGTCACTCATTTTTCCAGGTAGTTTTCTTGGAAAGCATGAAAGTAAATGGTACACAGGGAAGTAAACAGTGGCTTCCAAATTCAGAATGATCCCAATAAAATTCAGAAATAGGACCCTTACAGTTCAATTAATTTTATTTCCAATAAACTTGTAATTCAATTTACATTTTATTGGAGTGTGAAATCATTGTATAATATGGGTAACTAGATGCAAGGCAAGACACATATCAGAATAACAGAGTTGCTCAGGTAGGAAACCCTAGATTACTCACTATGCTCATGCAGGAAATCCTATTACAATGAAAACAAGACATAACTGGATATTCCAACTGTTACTCTAACTAAACCTAAAAATAAAT